GGGGGGAGGGGGGAGGGGGACGTAAGAGGAAAAAGAAACAGAGGATCATTACACGACATCAAGTCACATCATCGTCACCGCGGCACAATCTCTCATTTGGGTTAACGGGCCTCGCCGCAGCACTCACCAAATGTGCAAAATCAGAATGCATTTCCCGCTTGTATGTGGAAAGATGCATTCGACGTAATTGTCTTTTTCACATTTGGTGAGTGGTGCGGAGATGCATTCGACGTGATTGTCTTTTTCACATTTGGTGAGTGGTGCGGAGAGGCCCTATTACAACTTTACACAAACCAGGACACCCGAACCAAAGTTCCCCTTTCACCAGATTCTTCATTTATGACCGTCGATTACACGAAATCAATGGCTGGAAACGAGCAATCCTTGTAAGTGGGACCTCGCCCACGTAGAGCACCAATCAACCAGCTCACCAAAATTGGGGGGGAGGGGGGGGGAGGGGGAGGGGGAGGGAATGCAGATCCTCGAGCCTGTAGGAGAGAGAGAGAGAGAGAGAAGGGCAGGGGGAACAACATACGGGAAAAAAAAAAACAAGCAAACGAAAAGCAAGCACCACCCCGAGAACAGCCTACCACCCAATTTTTTTTATTTTTTTTTTCCTACCACCCAAATTTAGAAACGACATAAAAGAAACTCCAGTTTCTCCATTCATTCTCTCTATTCAGCATTTCACGAATACACTCACCCTTTCCAGCGACGCGGAAATTAGCTCGCCCGAGTGCTGCTCCGATCTCCTCGGCGGTTCCCACGAAGTTCTCGAGCTTCCCGAGGCCCCCGACGCAGCTGATGCGCTGCTCCCAGCTCTTCCTCCTCCCCCTACCCCTCCCTCCCTCCCATTTGACTCCACGGCGTCATTCCCTCTATCTAGCTGCTGCGCCCGATTTTCCTGGCGTGGGTGATGATGGAGCGGTGGACTATGATGACTTGCTCCGGCGTTAGCACCTCCGGCGCTGCTGCTGCTTCCAGGACCCACTCCCTCTCGTTCGCGAATGGCCACGTGGCCCGCGCTGATATGGTTATGCCCGGCTGCTGGCCCCGCGGGAAGACCGTGATGATGGCTCGATGGCGTCGCGATATCCCCGGGAGGAGAAGCGCGGATGCGCGAGGGAGACCGGCCCGAGATGGGGACGCTCGTGATAACTGTGGGTTTCTCTTGCAACACGTGGCGGCATAACGGGCAGCTCAGGTTCCCATGCCTCACATTCTCCCTGATGCAGTCGAAGTGATATAAATGCCCGCATTCTGGGGCGAACAGCGCCCGACCCCTGCCCACGGGATCCAGGCAAATAGGGCAGTCAGTGACCTGAATAGGAGGAGTGATAGACGGGGTGGATGCCGCCTTGACCACGCCATTGGCGTGATCCTTCCCCCCTCGCACGCCTGCTCCACCCGCCTCCCCCCCTCGCCCGCTCGACCGCCGGTGATGCCAGTGTCCACCCCTCCCAGATTCTGGCCTCCCCCCTCCCCCTCCCCCCCCCCCCCCCCCCCCCCCCCCCCCCCCCCCCCCCCCCCCCCCCCCCCCCCCCCCCCCCCCCCCC